TTTTCATATTTATGTATAATGTACTAAATATTAATTTCTCACCCATTTATTGCCGATTAGTTCTTTTTGCAGTTTCGTAAAGCTTTCTTCAAGTTTTGCCTCTTCCTTAAATGAGACATACATGCGATCATCAATAAGCTCTTCAAGCCATGAATTGGTTTTATCAAAGTCATCCATAATCAGCGGAATGAAAGCCTTGTTGTATTCCTGAATGCGATCACATTCTATATATTTATAAGACAATTGGCATATCATAAAACGAAAAGAAGAAAGAACCAAATAGTAGACATGCATTATTTATGATTATGTATGAAAAACTTTAACCTTTATTTAAAATGCATGTCAAAATTAGAACACATTGTAAAAACATACATTAAAAAAAATATATGACATATTTGATTACTGTATGTATGAAAAACTTTAACCTTTATTATGCATGTCAAAATTAGAACACATTGTAAAAACATACATTAAAAAAAAAATATATACGACATATTTATTAGATAGTTATATATATGTCGAAGAATGTGTGCTGATATGGATCTTGATATTATTATTACTAGAATATTCATATTTAAAACAAACAATTATTATTACTATTTACATTAATATTGTCTACAAGTTTGGTGAATGTTTGTTAAACAGCCTTACCGAATTTGCAGTTCCTACTTTTTTCGTATTTCTTTGATAAACATATCAGAACTATGCCAGCATCTTTGACGGCTTTCTTCATCGTACTTTTAACGTATCCAGTCATTTTCTCTATATCAATCCAGACGTCGTAAGTCAGTTCCCTCAATCGATCTCTTATCATTTTTACGACTCTATACAGTAATATCAATCATTTTCAATGATAGGACTAAAATGTATGATTATCAATTATCAGTTTTATATACAAAAAAATCTCCCAGCGCATTGATAATATTTTTTAATTGATATATATTAATAATATAAACAAGCACATGAATAATGATAACATAATAATAATAATAATAATAATAATAATAATAATAATAATAATAATAATAATAATAATAATAATAATAATAATAATAATAAAAATTTTAACCATAATAACAATATTTATAATAAAAATATACACTTACTTCTGGTGGGTATGGTTATAGCTTAGCATTATATACCCCTGATTCTGAAAGGACAAGTCAGATATACTAAAGCTTAGGCTCATTTAACTTTTACATTATAACTTTACTACCTAGACATACATATCATTAAACGTTGTCGCTGGAAAATCAAAGGCCACGATATAACCGAAAAAATAATTGAGACATCAAACTATTGTAATATGCATTACTTACTTACCTTCTCACTCATCTGTACCGACACATCAGATCGGAGACTGCTTCCTACATCAGATTGGAGACTACTTCCCGGGTTAGCTTAAAGTCAATAAACAATTATATTATTCAAAATATGTTTTAAAATAAGGTCGATAATAATACAAAAATATTAATATTAATCATATAAATAAATATTTTTTAGAATACTGTAATCACCATCATCGTTGTTGACATTACATTCATTATCATCATTATCATCTTCGCCGACATCATCATCATCATTGTTGACACCATAATCATCAACATCGTCATCGTCATCATCATCGTCATTATCGTCGTCGTCCTCATCATCATCATCATCATCATCATCATCACAGTAAGACTTTGCCCATCTAATGTTGGGCGAAGCCCTCCAGCAGTTCCCACTTCCTTTTGCCTGTTGCCGTTTTGCTCATTTTGCCGTATTCATGTATGTGATTAGTTCATCTCATTCCATCACTTTTTTTGTCTTCCTCTCTGTCATTAACTTGTCATTGGTTGTCACTTTTCCAGCTATTTTGTCTAATTCTTGCTAATTGTTCAGTTCATCTTCTCTATTACATTTTCGTGATTTATAATATCTTTGACGTTTATTGATGCTATGATATATTGTAATGTATTATAATTATGCTATTTAATATACCAAAATAATATTAAAAATAAAAATAATTATAGTCATTATCATTATCATTATCATTATCATTATCATTATCATTATCATTGGCATTGTCATTATCATTATCATTATTATCGTTATCATTAACCAAATTTACTAATGTTTTACTCTGTTTATGTTAAAGGAGCTTCAGACGAAAGTCAATTACAATGAAAGGCATGTAAAAAACTCAGTTTTTCCGAAGTTTTTAAAAAGGAAAATATGTCAAAAAGAAAGAAATCATTTTAAATATTGTGTTTTATTTACCGTTTATTGGACTTTCTATTGATTGTTCTACTTTTCTTTCCTTTTCTTTAGGCCCTTCCTCCTGAGATGTTTGAATATTGCGTTTGCGGTTTGGAATAAAATCTACAACACAATAATAGAAAAAAAAATGAAAATATACATAAGGCATACAAATAATGATAAAAAATATAGGCC